CTTTCCTCATTGTTTTGTATGATTATCTCTTTAGGATTTGTGCTCTAGAACTTGACTGGGAACTAACTTAAGACTTCTCTTTTTAATTGCATGTTTTAATGTGATTGAGGTATAATAAGATTTTTATTCTTGGCTTTCCGCAAGTTTGAGATACAACTAGTTGTCCACTTTGAGCTTTATTGATTTTCTTGGTCCCTTGCGTTAAATTTATAGAATGTTTTGATGACCTTGAGTTTATGAATAGAGCAATTGAGTTGTTGAATTGTTTGATAAATTCTCCTCTATATCTCTCATGTGCAAAAAGAAAGAAAGTATGAAAAAGAAAATGAAAAAAAGAAAAAAAAAAGAAAAAGGGTTATATATGATTGAAAGAAAAGAGGAGTAAAGATATTGTTTATATACAAAAATATAAAAAAATTACTCCAAGAGCTTCATTTGTAAACTTAGGGGATGTTTATAATTTTTATAATTTATTACCCTTTAGTATATTCCCTTCCTTTCATTTATCTCACCTCAATTATTATAATCCCTTGGCCACATTATAACCTATAAAAGACCTCATAATTCTTACTTGCATTTAATTTATCTAGTGGAGAGTCGGTTTATAGTTAAGCCTATGGTAGTATACTTTTCTTAAGGAGAACTGAGTGATATCTTATTTTGTCCCTTAGTGAGAGAGGAAAGTAAAGTACCTTAGTTTGATGTTTGAGTGAAAAGTATGGAAATATAAGATTCTAATTAGGAATCTTTTTTATTGCTTATGCTCAGTAATATTACTCTTGTTGCTCTCTTTATCTCCTTTATCTCGAATTCCTTGTGTGGTATTATGTTTTAAGTTATTATGTTATTCTCTTAATTAGCTGTTTGCTTGTCCTCAAGCAAATAGCTAAGTATGGAGGAGTTGATAAGTCTGTAATTAGACTATCTTTTATAGCCCATATATTCATATTTAATCTTTATTTTACTTGAATTTTACACTAATTTATTTATTAATTGTGCAGTTTGGTATAAAGAGACCGCAAGTAGATTTCGGGTGCATTCTTGGCCCAAATTGATGGAAGATTAGAGCTTCGTAACATTGAGCACGCCCATACCCATTCAATAAGCACGGGAGTGCTTCGAGTTCATGCACGGTCTTACTTAAGGCCTTGCACGATCGTGCTCATCTGCAGAAAGCCCAATTAATTAGAGTTTTTATGGTTTTCAAACCCTATAAAAGGAAAGATCAGAGGCATCGCGAGAACACACCATTTTTACATTGGCTTTTGCTCTGGGATACATCTCATCTCGTCTCTCTTGCACGGGATCCTTGGCAGGACTTGGAGCTTCGAGTGATTGTACTTGAAGACCGGAAACTCACCTCACACTCTAGTTTTGCTATTTCTTTTGATTATGACTTTGTTTATGATTGTTTTAGTTCTTTTCTTTAACATGAGTAACTAAGTTCATAGCTAGGGCTATGGAAACTATTGTTCATGAATTTATGGGATTTTAATGTTTGAATCTGAATTTGATTTTCGCTATGTGATTAGATTTTATCCTATTACGCTTCTTTCTTAATCCTAATTAATTATATCGTCAGGTGACTGTACCTTGATTAATTAATAGATCTATAGGATAAAACGAGACAAAGGATTAGGTGGACCAAACCAATCTTTCTCTTCTAATCGTTATTAAATTAACAAGTTCATAGGCTCCTTAAGCTTTTTTAAATTGATATCTTGCATGACCATTGGGATGTTAATTTAGAGAAAAGAATATTAATATTGCATGATCATTGGGTATTAATAATATTCGTATGAATGATTGGTAATCACAAGGAAATTAGATTTAGTGTTAAACAGAAAAATAACATAAAGGATTGAATGAGAAATCTCATATGTCCTAGGTTCTTCTCTGATAAGTTTACCCAAGACGTGTTTTGTGTTCTTTGCTCTTAGTTTTATAATTGATTTTATAAATTCTTGTTTTGATTAATCTCGTATATTTGAAGCTCAAATAATTAAATTATGAAATTCTTAGTAATTGAAAATCAATATTCCTTGTGGGACGATATTTTGGAAACTTAATTTAAGAACCCTTTATTACTTCTCGATAGGTACACTTGCCCTCGAAACAATTCTAGTGAAAGTATTGTGTGAATTTCCATGAGATACAACTACCATTGCTACATTCATACGCATATAAAAGGTAATCATTATTCATATTTTGTGTAATTTTTTTTTTGTTTTGAAATGTGTATGTCGCAAGAGCAATTAAGAATCTTTAACATTCTGTTGCATAATAAATTTGACTAATATAAGGACTTACAAACAATGACATAATACGTTTAACATTAAAGCAATTAGCATGATATTAAACTATAGTGGTTAAGAAATACTTACAATCAATGCAAAAATAATTCCATTCTTATTTATCCAACGTCTAGTATAAATAATGTACCACTGCAAATATTAAGAATTCGAACTCAATAAATCAATTTGGAAGCCATTACTCATCACTCAATACAATTTTCTCTCCCATAAGTTCACATATTTAAACTTAGTTAGTTGGTCGAGCTGAAATAAAGAACAAGAAATGTGTTACACCACCCCAAACTGATGCATCACATAGTCAAGTTGGTTTTGCACATAAATTTAAAAACATATGAATGAGACCATGAACTTCTAAATATTCATTTTTTGAGTGTAGATAAGGGCAAAGAATTCATCAATTCCATACATTAGGTTCACATGTGATTTTTATTTTCAAAATATAAATTATATTAATAAAAAAATCATTAAGTTATAAAGGTAATTCAAATGGATAAGAAAATATATTGTCATGTTTTAAACGATCAAATTTATATCTAAAGTATTGGAGATTCTTCTTGACCTTCCTATATCAGTGATGTACTAGCCACCTGTAAACATTTTTTTTTAATTCATAATTCAATGTCATTGCCTACATTAATAAGGAAAGCATACTACATGTTTCGTGTACGATAAGGAAGATCATGTTGTGTATGTGGGAGATTGTCAAGAGTTATAGATGGAAACTTATCTCATGCCCATATCATAATAAGGGAGTTAGGCCTCGCGATTTAGTCTATGTTTGTTGCGATGCATAATTTTTGGCATAAGATATTCAGCGTTGTTGTTCTCCAACTATACTAACTAATAACATTGTAATCTTCAAATAAAGATAAATACCTAACTGAGACCCTACTACTAAAATGATCAACCAACATAAATCTTTCAATCAACCTCATAATATTAGTTCTAGCAAACTAAGTAATCTAAAGGGCATCTTAGTTATGCATGGGTTGATGTGTGAAGTATTCATTTAACCAACTAAACTTCAAGTTGCTCCTTGCAATGACTAGCCTTCCATCGATACAAAAATCTATTTGAATAGTAATATCATGAATACTAATAGTACACTATCTAGGTAACATGTAAAATATGTATCATTGCCCTCCTTTCCACTAAAAACATAATAAGATGTCATTAATTGCATAAAAGTTGGCCAACTATGTAACTCTAACAAAATCAACTACCTCCAAATGCAACATGATTAATTTCATTTACTCAATAATTAACACAGAATCAATAAGAAATTAGAAAACAAATGGTCACAAATTTTTAAATAAATTTACTTACAATTATTATTTAAATGAAACTTTAATAAAATTATCAATTCTTACTACTAAATAATTAACATTTTACTAATAAAAAATTATGAAAATTATTTAAGCTTTCAAAATTTGTAAATTATATTTTATAAAAATTAATATTAGAACAAAAATTTAATAAAATCAATTATTTAAACTACCTAACAATTAACATTTAACTAATAAATAAATCATGATAATCATTTTATTTTTTAATAATTATAATTTATATTCACAAACTATTAATATTTAAATAAAAAATAAAAATTTATTTCATTTAAATTAACTAGTAATTTAACATTTTTAACAAAACATTATGAAATTTATTTTACAATTTAAATTTTTTATATTAATTTTCTTCAGATTTAATATTTAAATGAAACATTAATAAAATTATTAATTTACAGTATCTAATAATTAATATTTAACAAATAAAAATTTTAAAAATAATTTAGCCTTCAAATTTTGTTAATTATATTTCCTAATAATTAATATTTAAATGAAACTTGAATAAAACTAATAATTTAAATTACCTAATAATTGACATTTAACTCTTAACAAATGATGAGAAATATTTTTGCTTTAAAAAATTATAAATTTATTTAATAATAATTAATAATTAAATTAATCTTCCATTCCATCTACATTCATCCCACCTACATCATCAAAGATTCCTGTAGTAATATTTAATATATTTATCTTAAATATAATGCAGTCAACTAGGTCCCATTCAGTGTTCCCGATAATACAATAAATATGCATGCTTCTTTTTTATTATAAGGAGGTAATCGTCCAAGATCCGAGAAATTGTTGATTGATACGCGGCCATTTCGAGTCACTCAAATTCTGACATACGTAATAAATGCATAAACCGCCAACCATACAAAATTTTCTCCCAAAAGGCAGTGACTCCACTTAAGTCTCACCAAACATTGCACAGCACCTCGCAAACGCATTGTGAGATGTAAGAAAAATCTCAACACGGGTATCTCTTTTTCTTTTGATTATTGACATGTATAAACAAGTCAAATAATTGTGACTTTGTCTGTGATCACTACAAGGCTTGTCCTTTCCTTTTCTTTCTCATTTAATAGATATATCAATAATACTTTGCTGAATTTCATTGGCGTGCTTAGATCATAAAAGGTCTTGTTGGGTCAAATTGGCTATGTATCTTAACCTTGCCATCCTTTACGGTTTGGGAGTCCTAAAACGACCATGAAATTGCTTCACCCATCTTTAGAGTGAAAAAATGATTAGGAGTATGATGGTTTTGAGTTTGAATTACTGCTTTTAGTTTTAATTACATCCTATTGCTAAAATTTTGTGCTACTGCATGCAGTTTCATATGGACGAAACTTTGAAGCTATTGATTTTATGTGCTGCATGGGCATGTTCTTTCTCTGCACTGAGATGTGCCGATCCTCCCGGTGCAACAAATGAGGACCCCATTAAATTTGCTACTGAAGGTGCCACTAAAGACAGCTACAAGCAGTTCATTGAAGCTCTTCGAGAACGTCTAACAGGTGAGCTGATACATGACATACCCGTGCTTAGAGATCCAGCAACAGTGGAAGAAAGAAATCGATATGTCACAGTCGAACTCTCAAACTCGGCGACGGAATCCATCCAAATAGGTATCGATCTGACTAACGCATATGTTGTAGCATACCAAGCAGGAACTCGGGCCTATTTCCTCCGTGATGCCCCAGAATCTGCATCTACCAACCTTTTCCCTGACGTACCAGTGGATAACCGGTACACACTGCCTTTTAACGGTTCTTATGGTAATCTAGAGAGTTGGTCTCATCAAACTAGAGAGGAAGTAAATCTGGGGTTAGAGGCCTTGAGACATGCGATAACGTATCTACGAGGTGGTGCCGACGACAATGAAGAAAAAGCTCGTCTTATGATCGTGATAATCCAAATGGTTGCAGAAGCAGCTCGATTTAAATACATTTCAAACCGGGTTGGTGTCAGCATCCGAACTGGCACGGCGTTTCAACCTGATCCTGGCATGTTAAGTTTGGAGAACAACTGGGATAATCTGTCAGGAGCTGTTCAACAAGCAGAGCAAAATGCTTTCCGAAATAATGTCGTGTTAACAAATATTAATCACGAACCTGTCATTGTAGATTCCTTGTTACACCCAACTGTTGCAGCTCTAACATTGATGCTCTTTGTCTGCAATCCAAATGCAAACCGATCACCTCGATTACCAAGATCAATTGTGGAAAAATCAGAGACCTGCGATCCTTTTGTACCAACGGTCCACATTGCTGATCGAGATGGGATGTGCGTGGATGTCTCTAACAGTGCCTATGACAATGGCAATCCTATCATAATGTCGAAATACGCAGACCAACAGAACCAACTGTGGACCTTGAAACAAGACAAGACGATATTAAGATCAATCGTGGAAAAATCAGAGACCTGCGATCCTTTTGAACCAACCGTCCACATTGCTGGTCGAGATGGGATGTGTGTGGATGTCTATAAGAACGACTATCACGATGGCAATCCTATCATAATGTGGAAATGCGCAGACCAAGAGAACCAACTCTGGACCTTGAAACAAGACAAGACGATAAGGTCCAAGGGGAAGTGTTTAACCACATACGGTTATGCCCCAGGGCATTACGTCATGATATATGATTGTACTTCCGCAGTAGCAGAGGCCACTTACTGGGAGATATGGGACAATGGAACTATTATCAATCCAAGGTCTGGCTTGGCCTTGAGTGCCGAATCCAGTGCCATGGGAGAGACACTTACCCTGCAAACAAATGAATATCAAATGCGACAGGGCTGGCGCACAGGAACTCACACAGGCCCTTTTGTAACTTCAATTGCTGGGTATTTGGATCTCTGCATGGAAGCTCACGGAAGTAACGTGTGGCTGGCTGACTGTGATAGCAACAAGAAGGAGCAGCAATGGGCAATTTACCCAGATGGTTCTATACGTCCAGTGCAAAATACAAACAACTGTTTAACATCTGAAGAACACAAACCAGGAGCTACCATTGTCATGATGGCTTGTAGCAATGCATGGGCTAGCCAACGATGGGTGTTTAAAAATGATGGCACCATTTATAGTTTATCTGACGACATGGTGATGGATGTGAAAGGCTCTGATCCAAGTCTTAAACAGATAATACTTTGGTCATGGACTGGTAACCCTAACCAAATGTGGCTTACTTTGTTTTAACGGCTTCACGCAAGAGGAGGCAAATGTGTAATGTTGAAATAAGTGACTGTATCTATCCATGTGCAATAACAGTCATCAGCTTCGTGCTGCCTTGCAATGTTTCTAATATGCTTAACTAGTAAATGTCTGTTTTGGCAAGACCCTACGCCATCAACTGATCAATTAAGAGAATCCAGATTGCTTCAAATCAAATATATTTTGGAACTTAACTGGCACTTAAAAATTGAGCATTCAAGAGTACCCGATACAATTGGAAAGGTAAAATCATAAAATTAGAACAATGGAAACTTTGACTTTTCTCTCTCTCCAACATAGAATTTGTGCCTGATGGCACTATCCTTTATCTTTGGGAGGCGGAATCTTTGCAGTAGACTACCCACGAAATGCTTATCTCCCCTGTCGACAAAAGTGAAAGTAAAGAGGCCTAAATGAAAACAAAGTTTTTATTTGTTGAACTTAATTCCAGCCACAGATATGGATTAACTCAAGAAAAAACCAGTGGCTGAGATGGGATTCGGTTCAGGGACTCATTCGTAAATAAGTGTCAAATATATATTTTAATCTAAAAAAACATATATATAACTGATATTAATTAAATTTGGTTATTTTTAATTAATGGACCTTAATATGGTGCACACAAAGGTTCGTGATGAGGCTGATTGATCAATTGGACAACGGTTTGATTTCTTGGGACGACTTCTCATCAAGGGTTAAAAGCATACATGGAAACAGAATTGGAGCTCCTCATCCTAGAAAAGTCCATGGACACCCCAGATGGGAAGAAAGCTTCTAAGCAAATCGTTATCCAGGTTTCATTTGTGATGATCATGTGAGAATGATGAAAGAAATAAGTCAAAATTCATGACTTATAGTCACTGGTATGGAGCCATTAGATGATAGGTAGCTCTTTCGGATGTATGCATACCAGAATCAGAAGAGAGGTTATTAATTAGGCCAGTAATACAATTTAAATTAAAAAATCAGTAGCAGCAAAATTCCAGTTTAGAAGTTACTGCATGCAATGCAATGACTGATTGAAGAAAGTCTGCAATATTGGCCATGCCCAGTATTGAAGATCCATAACTCCAACGGTAAACTCAAAGTATAAGGCTTTCATCAGGTTAGCATTATTCAGGTTAGCATTATTCTTATGATTTTGAGATAAGAAATGTTTTTATTTTTAATAAAAACTTTATATTTTTAGGCACACGTAAAGTTGAAGAGATTGAAATGTTTTTATTTATACCTTAATTAGTCCACGTAGAGTAGAAGGCTAATCCATATGAGTTAATAAACCGTTCACCTAGCTAGTTGTGAGTTCAAACTAATCATGCAACTAAGGCTGCCTATTCGTCTTAAGATAATAATGGTAAGATACAATAATATTTTGAAATAAATTTTAATAGTTTATCTAAGTTTTCAAATAGTTACTATAGTTTAACGAAATTTTAATTCTTTCTAAAAGAGTGAGAACTTTCTAAAAAGATCTTAAAATATAGGACTTAAAATAAATTGACGGTCATGACTAACCAACCAATATTATATATTTAGACAACTTTTTAAAGGTGAATAGTGAATAAAATAAACTTTGCGTGCCTACTAATATTTTAAGTGTGTTAAATTGTTAATTAAGTATGTTTTAAATATTTTACTAAATTAGCAACAACAAAAAATGATTTTACTAAACCCTTCCTGTTCTTCATTAACAAAGTTAATAGTTTACGTTTAAAATATATACTTAATTTTTAAAATTTAGTTTTTATAATAAAAAAACTTTTAATTTTTATTCAAATATCTCATTATGTTTTGATTTTTTTTTTATCTTTATGCTGTTAGAAAAAAATACTATTTATTAAGTTACGATTAGTGAATTACTTCAACATTTTTTTTAATAGTGTAAAAATGACGAATTAAAGGATAAAAAAATAATTTTACAAGACTAAAGTATTTTTTTATAAAAATTAACCTTAACCCTTAAACTCAAATTTGAGTTTTCAAAATTAATAGACTTTTATTTTAAAACATAATTATTATTTTAGAGTTATAAAAGTGTAATAAATTATTTAATTTTTTAATGTGTGCTAAAAAATTCAATAAAATAAATAATAATTTTATTAAAATTATATCATTTAATAATATTAATACATTAAATTTAATGACATATCATTTTCACTAAAAAGGTATTATTCACAAGTTTTTATTGTGTATTTTTAAATTTAGAAAAATCATAAATTATGTTTTTAATAAAAAAATTATTAAAATAAATACTTAAATTTAATCTTAAAAATTGAAGGTAACAAAATAGTTTAATTATATTTTGTTAAGGTGTGCTGAAGTGTTAAAAGTATGAATTTTTTGTATTTCATGTCTATAAATAGGTCTTTTCGGCATTAAGGAAATGGTCATTACTCATTACCATCTTAAAGAGGGGTGGCATCATAGCATGAGCTTATGAGATTTCGCACTAAATACTTCCTTTTAATCACTACAGAAGAAATCTGGTATCCTTTTGCATGAGTTTTATTTTGAAAAGCTTTTCTTTAATCAATTTATTTTACTTGTGCTTGAAATGTTAGTTAGTTCCAATCCTTTTTCCTTAAATGAAACTATGGGCGTTGTGCCTCTCCTTATTTTGTAGTTTTTCCATGGAGAATCTGATAAATGTGACGTAAAGAAGATTATTATTTCTTCTCTCACCTAATTTTTCATTTTGGCTTGTGTTTCTTCAATCAAATTATTCCTAATTCTTTTGTAAAATTTTTATTTTTACTTTTTAAAAATAATTTGTCTTAATTTTTATAAATTCAATACTTTAAATAATCTCTACAACTCTTAAATAATCATGTGATGATAGGTAAGTGTCAATTTTTATATTGAGTCACGTCAATAAAAAGGACTAAACAATATAAAAAATAAAATTATAAAAAAAAAGTTGAGGGACTAAAAAAAACTTACAAAAATATAACAAAAAATATCTTTGAATTTAAATATTATTATAAAGTAAATGTTCCTAAAACACTTATTAAAATTTTTTAAACAAAATTTCCAAAAATTTTAATATTTTAAATGTAATACTTTGTTGAATTTATTATATTTATCATTTAGGAAGTATGTTTATTCATAAAAAAGTTAATACTTTGACGATTTAATTTTATATTTTATTTTAATTTTATATTTTTTATTTTTTAATTATTCATACATCTTGGTCAAACGTCTTTTGTTCATCGAACCGCTAAGTTAAAAGCATAAACAGACGAAAAGAGTGTGGTGAGAGCGCATGAGAGCCTGAGTAGGCTAGACTCAAAGCGAGACGAGTCAGTGGTCTACATATGCTTTGGAACCATTTGTTATTTTTCGGATAAACAACTTTACAAGACTGCAAGCGCGATTGAAGCACCGAGTCGTGTCATACAGGTAATTCTGGAGAAGAAAGGGAAGGAGGAAGAATGGTTACAAAAAGGTTTAAAGAGAAGGATCGATAAGGAGAAGGGAATGATTATAATGTGTTAATATCGAGTCACCTCACCGTTGGTGCTTTTCTAACTCATTGCGGGAACTCCACGGTAGAGACCATGAGCGCTTGAGCTCCAATGATTACGTGGTTGGTGCACAGTGATCAATTCTACATGAAGAAACTAAAAAGTGAGGTGCAAGGTATGATGGACTTCTACCGTGGAGCTCGTCACTTTGAAGTCTGATAACAATATTATCGGCAGCAAAAATTTTTTACTTATAAATTTATTGGAAAAGGAGATTTTTTTAGCAGGACAAAATTTATATTTTAAATATATATTTAAATTAATAGTTTTTAAAATAAAAATTATAAATTAATATATTAACATAAATTTAATATATTAATAATATATTTATCATCATAATATATTTTTTTCAATTTAAAATTTAAAAATTTATGTTCTTTTCTCTTTTTTAAAAAAATTTATTTTTTAAAAAATATACCCTTAATATTTAATATGATTGTGTTTATTGAGATTCAAATTTAAAATCATATGTTAAATATAAATAAATTTTTACAATATTTAGTAACATTTATTATTTTAGTGAATGATTAATTTTTACAATAATTATTTTTAAAAAATATATCTATTATATATTTTAATTAGTTGACAATATAAAAAAACTATATTAATAATGTAAAATTATACTCATAATTATTAGCTCCACTTTTGAAGATTGAAACCATAACCATATCTAGAGGTAGTAAACTTAAGTGATACTCATTTTGCTATTGCGTACTACATCAACCCACCTCCTAGAGAAAGTTGAAGTCATGAGCCAATGATTATAATTTTTTGAAAGAACTATGATGCATTCAAAGAGGAAATACAGGAAGATGAGACCATGAAGATTAGGGTTTTAAGGAAGATAAGTTACCTTTGAAAAAGTAAATTTTGAGCATATAGTAGTGGAAGCTAATGAATAGTATCTAAAGAGGGTGAGTTCGATTTAATGAGATTTGCTCGGATCAAAACAAAAAGGAGGAAACTATTTTTTGTGACCCAAATACCCCTGAACATTAATATTAATTACCTTAGACTAAATCATGAAGTTGTCTTTTTTTTATACATAGGAATCAAGGTGGCTTTAATATATATATATATATATATATATATATATATATAAGTCCATATTTAAATATTTCTCTCTCGGTTAAATTCAGGTACCAACAATTTTAAAATTTTGCAACTGCAGATGATCGAATCTCACCGAATAACTCTATACAATTTACCTGTCTAAAATCATTAGGTATAAAAGTTTGATTTTATTACTTTTTTTACGATTTGGTCTTATCAATTATATGTGGATATATTATTTCTACTCACCCTTATTTGATATATTCACAATGACTTTTTCTCCTTTATTGTTGTTAAGTCCACTACAGATTTCAAGCTCCTCCTGAATTGCAAGATGTTCAAAATTGTCACATTCTCGTGTGATCTATTTATAATAAACAATTTATAACAAATAAGTTTATATCTTAC